TCCTGCTGACCAGTATGTTAGAACCTTTATTCTTCACTCTGTTCATCGATGTGCATGAATGGGCCGAGAGTATATGTGATCATACTTTTGCTTGGTTTTACAAATAACTATAAATGTTCCTTTGCTTGTTGGTAGACAAAGTAGTTAATTTCCACAAGAGAAGAAAGCAGTTATTTTATCCGTTTAAATATGTCAGCTAACTTTGAAATGCACACCCCACTCCCCTTCTCCCTGGTTGTAGGCAGGGCTCCCCCTTATCTTTGGACTTTGTAGTTAATTCACTTCCTTAATTTGCTCTTCATTAAATGTAACATGAACATATATTTTGTTACATCTGCTTTAGAATGGTTTATTCATATATTTACAGGACTGCATATGATATAACTCTTGTTGATGATCACTGGCCACAAGATATGTTTAATGTCGTCAGAGGCAATACTTCACAGTCATGGGAAAGACTTCATGCGTGAGTTCCATCTTGCAATAATGGCCGTCTATCTTAGCTTTATCATTCTTTAGTCAATTTTTCACACCATATTTTGCAGTGGTGGTCTTCTGTCACACTCTTTTGAATTGGAGGGCAAAGTGAAAGGATTGTTTTTGGGCTCTCCAGCTGTCATTACATTCCGCATCCCCACAAAGGCTGCCTTGCAGGTTTGTTGTTTATACAGTCTATATTTTCTTTTCTTTCCTTGCCTTCTTGCATCAAGTTTTCTATCTTCTGACTTCTGCTTTATTTACAGGAGGCATACTCGACTCCCATTCTGCCTCTTGATGTCCTTGCAGACAAACCACCAGTGCAGAAGCTCGAGTGGGTAAGTTTCTTGTTTTGATTTCAAACATGCAAGTTCATCAATTTATGCTTGGACACCCTTCTTTTTGGTTTTGCTGTTAACTTAAGGTGGTCTTTTTTCTTTCATTTTCTATGGGATGGCCTCTGGTTTGGCCAAAATTCTGCAGGCAAAGGTACGATTCATCATCTTATTGTCTTGATCATTAGTTGTTAAAAGTTATTATAACATGCTTCCTGGCATTCAAATTTGACTTGACAAGTAAAAAGGCCAAAAGAAGGCCTCAGTGTCCATTTTTCGAACACCCTTTTACCCTTCCTGACTTGGTGACCATGAAATTCTAAAAGGAGAGTTGAAAAAAAGATTAAATGGTAATATTATTTGTTGATGTTGACACCATGGTTATCATTTAAATGATTCCTTGAAGACCATTTTTCCCCAATTTCATGTAGAGCAACTGTAACTGCTGCTTCAAGTCTCCATAATGACATGCTTTTCTTCCCTCAATATGCAATAATACTCGTTCTATTTTCTAACATTAGAATTTCTCTATTTACAGAAGCTGTTGGTTAAGTATGGGTCTCTAATTTCTGTGATCTCCATTGTGGTTCTGTTCGTGTACTTGCTCGTTACCCCATCCAAATCCGGTGCTGCAAAATCAGGCAAGAAGAGACGTTAAACATCACAGCCGAGAAACTGATCCAGTAGGTTGCCTGCAGTTTAGATTTTTCAGAGGAATTCTCTCCACAAGTACAGCTAGTTAAATTGTTTTCTAGCCGTAGAACTGAAATTTTGCCAGTGGGAGGAGTTAGCAATTTAAATAACTCAACTTTTTATTGTTACTGCATGTTTTCGTAGGGTGTCGGCCATAGTGCCAGCCGTAAAACCATCCTTTTCAATTGCATATCCTCATTCATGCCAGTAAAATGTTCGTCTATTCCTCTTTGCCACCCCATGAATATGTTCTCTGCAAAGTACTACAGTCTCTAGCAAGTAGCAACAGCGAATTGAAATTTAATTTTTGGATAAATAATAGTGGTAAGCTATTGAGCACCAATCTGATTGAACACAATCTGCTTACCTTAGCTTCTCAGTTGCTGGGCCAACTGGTAAATCGAGGTTTTTGAAAGGAAGCTTGCCCCCTGTCGTTTCAGGCTTTCAGCAACATCAGTACAATATCGCTCTGCTAAATACTACTGGGTCATTAATATGCTGGATACAAGGAACGTATTTTCTACTAATAGGATCCCCTAATTTGTAGCTCTTGTTTTTGCTCTCTTGTTTGCATTGTTTGAAATCATGAAATGGGGTTTGGGCTGATAAGATTTCAACAAAAATATAGAAGGATAATTGACTTATGCTTCCTGGTTTAAAACTTGGGTTAACCAAAGCTCAAATTAAAATATATTTTAACTCAAGAGAATCCTATTAAAACAAACTAAAAGACAGTGATATTACTATTTTCTTACTGTAGCTCCAGACTTATTAGCTCAATTAGAACAATAAAATTATAATTTTATCTTTATTAACAAAGCATATGTAACCTTCAAATCAGGGTTTTATCAGTCTTTTTCTATTTATTTACATAATAAAATGACTAATATGTCATTTGAATTTAAAAATAATGAACTAGCGGAAAGGGGCACTTTCCGTTTTTTCGTTGTGAAATGCACATTAAAATTACCACAATGCCCTTACATCAAAATTATCTGTACCTTGGATCAATGGGTGTCTTTTGTCCTTTCCTTTTTGCTTTTTTTTGTAATTACCAATTCTGACAGGGGCACTTTACTGTTTCATTTATATATAAAATATGAATTTATTTAAAAAAATCAGTTGCCTATTAAATTCAAGTGGTAGCATGTGAGTACTTTTGTGTTATTTGGACAACGTGGATGGATGATATTATTTTATCAGTTAAAATATAATTTTTATAGTTGTGCTTTATTCTATACGATGTCATTCCATTAATAATTAAAGAGTGTACCAAAAAAGATTAGGGGTTTTTTTTAATGGTTTTTTTTTATTCTCGATTTCAGAGGCTTTTCCTGTAAATTTTTAGAATAACTCTTTAATTTTTTATTTTAAATTTGATTTATATTTTTTTATTGATATTTTTTATTTTAAATAATCCATAAAATTGATTTTTTAAAATTTAACCCTCATTTAATTTTTTTTCTAGATTAAGTCCTAATTCTTTTGGTTGTTATGTTTTTCTTATCATTCTTTTAATTAGATTATATTTTTAATTAAATATCTCATTATTTTATATCATTTTATTAATTGAATTATTTTATTAATTTCATCAATTAATATCTTAATTCATTTTTATTTTATATTAAATTTGATATTATTTTTTAATAACTATTTATTTTATTTTTAATCATTTTTTATTAATTTTTTTTAACTTCATCTCTTAATATTTTATTTACCAAGATTTTATTGACCTTTTGAGTCCCAAGTTTAAAAGATTGGGCTGCGTTATTTTTTTTGTTTCTTCTTTCCTCTCTTCCCTTTAATTTTAGAGCCTTTCCCTGCACATTTTTAATTTTTATTCTTTTAAATTTAATCACTATTTTTTATTGTTATTTTTTTTATTTTAAATCATCCATACAATTAATTTTTTTTAATTTAATCATTATTTGGTTTTTTTATCTTTCAAATTTAATCCTCATGATTATTATATTTGTTTGTTAATATTCTTTTAATTAAATCATCTTTTTAATTATTTCCCTCTATATTTTATATCATATTCTTAATTAAATTATTTTTTCAATTGCATCTCTCAATATCTTACTTCATTTTATTTTATGTTAAATTTGATCTTTATTTTTTTAATTGCTATTTGTTTTATTGTTATTCTTTTTTTATTGAGATTTTTTTAATTTTATTTTTTAATATTTTATTTACTAGAATTTTGTTAACCTTTCAGTTCATGAGTTTGAAAAATTGAATTGAATTTATTTAAATTTTTTTTTCAGTTTTTTTATAATAATTTTTTTATTTTTTTATAAGATTATTATAATCTTATATATTAGGTAATTAGTTTTATGTGTTAACCTAATTTTGAACAAGCATAATATTGTTTTTTTAATAAACAAAATTAATCCCAGTAGAAGTCCCAATCGATGTAGGATATGTTCGTATATACAAGTTTAAATAAATGGATCCTTAATTCCCCCCTCATGCACGCTCCAACCCTAGCTAGCTAGTTTCGATTTCTTCTTGGTTCTTAGTAAGAAATATTATTAATACAATCACACAACCATATGATACTTTCACCTTCACCTTCACCTTCTTCATCTCCTTCTCCAGTTGAAGTTCCAAACACAGAAGAGATAAGTTCATGGGCGTTTGGGGTCCTTGCAATTGTTCTGTTGGCATTAGGATTTTACTATTCCTGGCTTCCATTCCTCAAATTAAGAAATTACATTGATAGAGTTTTTCATGCTTCTTTTACTGTTGGCATCAAACTCTTGGCATGGTTCAGGCAATTTCTCAGCTAAATCATTCCCTACGTCCAGGGGCGGAACTAAAAAGAGACAAGCAGAGCCCAAACCCCTACAAAATATTTAAAATTTTTGTATTTTTAGTGTTTAAATATAAGATAATATAATATATTTTTATTTTAAATAAATAAATTTTTTAATAATAAATTATATCTTGAGTCTTGCCCCTCATTATATAATTTCAGCTCCGCCCCTGCCTATGTTCGTGAGGATTATACCAGAAAACAAGTTCCATATGTGACTTGGTCTATTAACTATGAATTTATACCCCCGTTTTCCACCTCCGAATTTTGATAGACTCATTTGCCAAGGCAAGAAGGCTCACTGCTCCAGTATTATATATATTCTCACCAGCAGTTACTCTCACCATTGTGCATTGTGTTCCATAAGAGCATGCTAGCTGGTCTTTGTTCCTGAATGTCATCAATGTCGTCTAAGCACTCAAGTCCGATGAGTGTTTCACCTTTTTATTTCGTTGTTCAGCTTGATATCCAGCCTTTCATGGGATTTCCCAGGAGGTTCAGTATCATTCATACTAGGGTTTTGCAGGTTTACATAAGAGTTAAACCATATTAATTTCTTTTTCCACATTCCCATTTCATTCCTTTCAAATTTATCTTCAGAGTGCAAATTAAACGTCCATTCTCTTGTCCTCATTAGCTTATTCTTTGTTGTCAAAATAATAGCTATAGAATTAGTTATATGTTAAGAGAGAGTTACTTAAATGAGAGAAATATTTGATGGGAAAATAAAAAATAAAAAAGTAATTACTATTTGATGTGTGAAAACGATTCCTTTCTAGAATTTACTATAAGGGAATCTTCCACTTTTAGCTTTAATATTATTATTTTTTTTCCTTAAAAAAGAGAGAGTTTATTAATTACTTACTAACTATTTTGAGACCCTATATATTGTTGTATGGTGATTCGGAGATTCATAGGATTTAGTCACCCTAACTTTAAACAAATTGAATACTAATTTGTTAAATTACTATCTTTCTGATTTAATTAGGATCTTCTTAATTTTTAGCTATATCATGATAAGTATTTTAAGGGAATGTGGGCATTGTATGTTTATGCATAAAAAATAGTTGAACACTTTTTTTAATAAGATTTAATCACTATGCTAATTTTAAACATAAGGCCATAAATCTTGGGTTGTGCCCAATCATCGCTAATTAAACTCTCTTAATTCTTTTGATTGAGTTCACCTACTCTTTTTAGCAGTAATTAAGTCCTATTATGTTATAGTTTGTTCCAATTAACATCGAAATCTATGAGTTTTCTATCCTTATCTATCACTCATTCAATGAGTATTTTAATTTTTTTTAGATTTTCATAGAATAAGAACATTTGCAAACATATTGATATCAATTCACTGTACGCTTTCATTTTCCATTTCAATTTTGTGTTTATTTTCAATGACATTGTTCTGAATTTCATTTAAATATAGTGCTTTTAAAAATACATAAAAATAATATTTTTTATTAGCATATCAAAATTATTTAAAAATATCTAAAAAATATTAATTTAATATGTTTTCAATTAAAAACTAATTTGCAAAATATTCAAACCAAGCATAAAAACAAACACTCTTTGCTTTTTCAAATGTAAACACAATAATGATACTAGAGAACGTATTAGAGGAGCGTTACATAAATAAGAGATGAGGATATGAAAAAGATTTCCAAAAACAAATTGTTTTTTTTCTAATTAAATATTCAATGCCACGTAACGCTCGGCAGTTACCGTACCGGCGTCGGCCTCGAGAATCTAGGATTGGTTCAATATATATATATATATATATATATATATATATGTATTGATTGAAGGAATAAAATTGTAATTTGAAATGGAATCCTTTCTTGTATTTTCCAAAAGTAATTTTTCCTTTTTGGGTTATATCAGTTGTATTTTCTGTAAAAGGAGTAGATATACACTCCGTAGTCTAAAAATTTATGCAAAGCCAACTTCATGTTATTTTATTTTGAACGGAAATATATTGTTTAATTAGCCACACCATAATCTTAGAACCACACGGCTTAATTATATTCATTCCTCGAAACTTAATTTGCCTGATGGTTCTTCACAAATAGTTTCGTAACTATGCATGGGCCCGCGCTATGCTGTTGCTGTGGCTGTGGGTTAGGTTTTTTTCTAAAAAATTGATATTAAGTGATGCAGACGTCCGTAGTTTATTCATGAAAAGAGATGTCTAATGTTAACGATTTGAGTTATAACGCAAACTGAAATTAATGAGTTTGTTTTATTTTAATTAAACAATAAAAGAAAAGATAGTAATATTGATCTTTTTTTTTTCAAAAAGTATTACAATACTTAGAAAAATAATAATGATGGGAGCATGAAATTAGATAAGAAAGGATGAAAACATTGGATCAGGTCAACAAACATGGAAGAATATAATAGAAAAAAAACTAATTACACAAAAATATCAAAAATAAAAAATAATAATTAAAAGAATAAAAATAAAAATAAGTAACTAAATTTTTTTGATTGAAGGGTTAAATTTTTTTAAAAAAATAATATACCATGAACCTAGATTAAAAAATAAAATAAAAATTAATAAATTTTTTATAAAAGGGCTAAAGGAAATTTTTTTTTCTAAGAATAAAGACCCAAAAAAAAAGTGATATATGAAAAATTGATATTGAAGAACCAAATCAAAAGGACTAACCGTTATTTAAAAGTACATTGAATAAAAAAATTATATAAAAAAAGATAAAAATCTTTATTCAAAGGGTTAAATTAGAGAGATACATAACTACTAATATAGTAAAACACATTATTCAAAGGTTATTTTGATAAACATGTTATTATTATTATAATTATTATATTATCATCATAATTATTGTTATAACTATCATTATAGATAGAAATTAGAATTCAAGGATTGAATTAAAAAATTATAAAATTTTAATAAAAAATAAAATAAAAAATTAAAAGAACATTAAAAGACAATAAAACTAGGGATCTTGCTATAGAAGAGAGAAATGAAAGGAAAATAAATCAATATCTTTTAGATGATATATGCTGGCCATAAAAGAAAGGTATATGATGGAGTACAAAATAAGATAGTAAAAAATAATTTTTCATCATCAAAAGATACCTAACTTTTTTAATAAAAATATATTAATTAAATATTAAATTATTATATCATCCTTGACCAAACTTAGTAATTACAAAAAAAACAAAACCTTGAGGAAAAGACATCAAAACCCTTATTTACATGGCCTGTTTTGTTTATCCTAAGAACAATTATGTAATTAATTGTACTATACAATTAAAAAGTAATAATACTAAAATATCTTTGTCAAGCAATGTTGGTTTTTTTGTATTCTAGGAGTATTTTAGCAATTTTATTATGCATTAAAAGACAGATAGACAAAACACCCCAAATAAATCAACAACAACAAATGAATAGTGTATAAAAACCAAAACACCCTTGAATAAAAAACATCCTTGCCGAGGCCATAAACGTCACGCCAATATTATAGCAAGTAGTGAAGAGTGAATCTCTCAGGTCCTGGTCTCGGTGTTGTCCAACTCTGAATGAGAACAAGTGAGTCAACAACCTTCCTTTCCTATTTTCTCCATAGACGCCTCCACCTATAACCCACATATTTCTTCTCCAAGAGCCCTTGACATAGCTAGCTAATAGACTATCTTGCTCTCGGTGTTGCTCCTTTGCCATTTGCAAGCTAGTTTTTCTGCTACAATGGATCGGTCTCTCATGTCTGTCCTTCTCAACAGCCCTGAAAGCCCCATCCCCCGACCCTGGGAACGTTGCTTTGATATTAGGGTTATCTCTCTCTCTCGCTCTTCCACCTCTTTCGATCCCCACACACATTCTTTTGCATTTCACTCATCAAAATCATATGTTAGACAAATACTTCGATCATGTGGTAATTAAAAAAAAAACACATATGCATGTTTTATTTATCTAAATTAAATTGTTGTGATGTTTTTGTGCTGCAGAATGAAGTGTTATTCTACACGAACACCTTGGATGATACGATTTTGATCGACCTGAGGTGCCAAATCAATCTTGGTGGTGGTTTGTTCCACACTAACAACATGTGGCAAGAGCTTGCTGGTTGCACCAGCTGTGTCCGTCACTATCCTTCAGTCCTCCAAAGCCGAAACCCTCAGCCTTTTCTCCTCCAAGCTTCTTGCTGTGGTCCATTGGTGTATCTGCTTGTGCCTGAGTTTGTCAACCACTGCCCGTTCTGCGAGAGTCTCGTTTATATCGTAGGCTAAATCATCATCATCATCATCATCATCAATCAATCACATCCCCCGTCTGGGCTTTTCAATCTTATCTTCTTATTCTTGTTCTAAGCTTTAGTGGGGCTATAGGCTAAGAGTTTTATCCATGTATAACCGTGTTTGGCATCAAAGATTTTTTATTTTATTAATTTTTGTTCCTAAATAAAGTTTGAAAAAATTCCCTTGTTTGCATTGAAGCTTCACATTAGCATTGCATGTCCATTAATTTGGTGAAGCTCTCATGCAAATGTTGTAAGGCATAATATATAGTTGGATTTCTAATAAATTTAATTTATTTAATTTTTATGTAGTCCAAGTGATGGTGCCCAAATTAATAATGGAGACTTAAATAATGGAATTTGGGGGCTTCAAACGACCTCCAACTAGCATAGCTAGTTGTCTATGGAGTATGCCCTGAAACAATCCTTTCAAATTGGGATGATTTGCATTATTTTGATACCATTAGCCAAAGTTATAACGGTCAAAATACTAAACAGTGTGCAAAATATTTCCAAACCGGTGTCGGATTGCTATCTCTTGTCATCTTTGTATTGGCTTACTCTATCAAGGTAATTGAGAATCATCAATTCTATATCTGACAGCTCAGCTTCCCCAATGTCCTTCACATTAGTCTTTCATGCACCAGACTCAACAAGTTTTTCAATGAATTTTAAAAAAAAAATCTTAAAAATGGAAATGGATTCTTTGCATGCCAAAAAAAAAAAGGGTTTTGGTCAAACCTTTGTTTTCCCTTTTTTGTCTTTTCCACTAAGCAATAATATAGTAGTTTTTTATATTTTATTTAACCTTTTTCTAATTAATAAGAGGATTTATTAATGGCATGTTTATAAATTTAACGCGTTGGATATATACAAAAATTTATTATCGTCAAGGACAACCATATTTTGCCTGCATCATAATATATCGACGGTGTCAAACATGCGCAATCGATCCCACAAGCACGTGCTGAACACCCCTAGTTTATTTATGATCAGGAATATGTTAGATATAAAAAGGAAAGAGAACATCACATTTAAAATCATTCCAAACAATAAAAATATTATAATTATTGATAATTACACCTTGAGTATTGTAAAATTTCTTTAAATATTCAATTATACGTAGCTAACCTTAATTAGTATTTTCTATAAATTATTAATTAGAATTCAGACTCATCATTTTTTATAATTTTTTATTGTGTTTTATATAGTAAATTCAACTGTAATTTTATTTTTTATGATAATCAAGCAATATTATCAATGCAAGCCAGCCATTTAGCATCTGGCCAAGCAAGAAAAACAAGTGTTCAAAGTAAATTAGTTGTTTTGGAGAAGGAAATGAATAAAATTACTGTATTGATTGATCTATCTAACAAGAAGCTCGCTCAGCCACCAAGAACCTAGCTGAATCATTTGTGAGTTCTGTCTACATTTCTTAGCAGATCATTAGCTGTGTAACCAAAATCCTCTTTACAATTCTTTAACCAAACTGACAGCCGATGGAGAATTAAAGAAAAACATGATTCCCAGTTCGGCCGAATTTTGTTAAAAATGAGGTGATTCGTCCTCCTAGGACTTGCTTTTAAAGGCATTTGCAAAACCCACACTGTAAACCTCATCATCATTAATCCCTACCTCTGAGCTCTTGTAAAACTTGATCTGAAGCCCCGAGCGTCACTCAAACCATCAAAGAATTCATTTTATGGTGAGTAAAGAATTTAAATTATTTAGTGAGAAAACTAGAGTATCATCGGCATTTTGCAGATAGGTGATAAAATCTCAATTTCTCAGTTGAATGCCACTATACATACCTCTGGCTAGTTATGCTTGATGAAACAGCATTGAAAGGCCCTGCACTATTATATTGAGTGAAAAAGGTGACAAAGGGTCACCTTATCAAATACCACAACCAACACGGAATTTTCTAGTAGAAAACCATTAACAAGAAGTAAGAGATATCTAGTAGAAAATGCTGTGATAAACTCAATCAACTATTATTTATAACTTGCAACTATCTATTATCAATCATCATTATTAGTTGTCACCTACTATTAACCACTATTACTTGCACTCACTTATTATCAACCACCACCATTACTTGTTGCCTCTTAATTTATGTATAAATAAGCTTTTAAGTTTATGTTATTAAGTGTGAGAAATAAAAGAAAGAAACACGAGAGAAAAAGAAAGAATATGTATTAAGAGTATGTGTTTGAATTTGTAAGCTTTTATTTTTATAATAAAATCGTGTGTTGTATCCCCTCTAATTGTTCTAAAGTCATCACCAATGGTCTCTCCTACCAATAATTTATATCAAAGTCCCGTTCATCAAAAAATAGTGTTCTTAAGACATTTTTGATTTTTCAAAGTTGCTAAAAACCATTTTTGATCATTCTATCATGTAGTATTCATCCATACAAACTCACTAGTGTAAAAATCAACTTCATCGGAGCCCGCGGTAGCCCACAGACACCGCTTAAAAATTCTACCACTAAAGCCTATGCGTAGCCGACGTGCCCCAAGGTAGACGACGATTGAGCCATATACACGTCATATTTGAGCCAAATCGAGTTGTACAAGCCGTTTTCAAGCCGAGCCGTATAAGCCATCTAGCTTAGCCTCAGCCAAGCCACATAAAATATTCTTGGTTCAGCCCAACGAACCACCCGATGTCTAGAATCAATTTCCTGATCATTTCAGCCTATTTTGACCCATCTTCAACCAAGTTAGACTGGTTGCCTATTATTTTAAGCATTCTAGATCTATTTATTGTGTCCATTTCTTCAAATTCAACTCTTAAAAGGTGATATAGTCATTTAAGGAGCAAAATGACTATAGAAAATGCATAAACACTCATCTCAAAGCTAACCAAAGACAACTATGATAATTGGTGTATCAGATTGAAGGCATTTTTTAGTTCATAAGAGTGTATAGAGATTATGGAATATGGCTATAAAGAACCAGAGTCCATTTGGGCACTATAGCACTGAATGCTGAAGAAAAGCTCCATTAGAGGTATGCGAACAAGCCAACTATGCAGAGAAGGATGTCATCATTAGAGGACCACCTGCAATATTAGTCCAGCAAAGACTAGGTGAGAATCAGGAGAATATATGGTATTTGGATTTTGGAGCTAGCAATCATATGTGTGGTCATCAAGATTTATTTAAAGATTTAGATGAAACTATAAAAGGTCATATCATTTTTGGAGACATCTCTAAAGTTCCAGTGAAAAAAAGAGGCAACATCTCAATTAGTTTGAAGTATGACAATCATAGTTACATTACAGATGTTTATTATGTTCCAGCCATTAAACATAACTTGTTGAGTATAGGCCAACTTCCGAAGAAAAGTTATACTCTTCTTATAAAGAATTGTAATCTAATAATTGAAGATTACAATGAAAGATTAATTGTCTATATGAAGATGTCCAAAAATAGGATGTTTCTTATAAACATCTAATATGTTACCGTAAAGTATTTAAGTGTCATCACCAACAATGAAATGTGTCTCTAGCACCTAAGACTTGGACATCTAAATTTCACAAGTTTGAAAATGCTTGCAAGCAAAAACATGGTCAAAGGTATGCCCCACATTGATCATCTAGATAAAGTCTGTGAGAGTTGTGTCTTTAGCAAACATCACAAATCTAGTTTTGCCAAAGAAGTCAACTAAAAAGCAAATAAGCCACTAAAGTTGGTGCACATAAATGTGTGTGGTCCTATAAAGCCCATGTCAACTAGACAAAATAGGTACTTTCTTACGTTCATTGATAATTTTAGTAGAAAGACATGAGTATACTTTCTGAAGAGGAAGTCAGAAGTATTCAATTGTTTTAAAGATTTTAAAGCAATTATTAAGAAGCAAAGTGACTACAAGATTAGAACCGTGAGATTTGATCGAGGTGGAGAATATATAGCAAATGACTTTAAAGCCTTTTGTACACAACAAGGCATCAGACATCAGACAACATCAGCTTATACACCACAATTGAACAGTGTAGCTGAGAGAAAGAATCAAATGATCTTGACATGGTAAGAAGTCTACTAGAAGTTTGTAAGTTGTCACTCCTGAAGAAGCATAGAGTGGTCACAAACCAAGTATTACTCATCTTTGAGTCTTTGGTTGTATGGCATATACAAAGATTCTAGATGCAAGTAGGACTAAACTCGATGACAAAAATGAGAAATGCATCTTTATCGGATATAGTGATAGAAAGATGGGATACAAGCTATATAATCCCATCATAAAGAAGGTGATCATGAGTAGAGATGTTATCTTTGAATAAGATAAATCTTGGCAGTGGAATGATGATCAAGAAAAAGTAAAATGGATCAGTATTGATTTGATCCTTGAAGACAAAGTGGAAGTACCAACAATCCTTGCAAAAGGTATGATGTTACCAGCAGATGAGCCACAAAGTTCGGCATATAGATTCCTTGTATTTAGTAGGAGAAACATATTAGAATCATCATCAACACCGCCATCAGTATCCTCATCAGCATCCTTATCAGAAGGACCAAGAAGGATGAGAAATTTAGAAGAACTGTACGATGTCTTTCAAGTCATGAAAGATACAACTATATTTTGTTTTTTCACAGATAATGGCCCATTTAGCTTCAATGAAGCTATCACAGAAGAAAAGTGGATAAAAGCAATGGATGAAGAAATACATGCCATTGAAAAGAATGACACCTGGAAGTTGACTAATCTACTAGAAAATAAGAAAGCAAGTGGTGTCAAATAGGTCTACAAGACAAAGAAGAATGTAAAAGGTGAAGTACAAAGATACAAAGCAAGATTAGTGGCAAAAGACTACAAACAGATAAAAAGCATTGACTATGAAGAAGTATTTACTCCAATAGCCTGGCTAGAGACAATCAAATTGATGATCTCACTAGCTGCACAATATAAATGGAATATCTATCAACTCGATGTGAAGTCAGCATTTCTGAAAGGCTTTCTAGAAGAAAAGATCTATGCTGAACAACCACTTGGATACATTAAATTTATAAATAAAGGTAAAGTATACAAGTTGAAGAAAGCCCTTTACGGTTTGAAGCAAGCTCCGCATGCTTGGAATACCAATTGACATGTATTTTTAAAATAATGGATTTGAGAAATGTCAATATAAACACGTAATATATGTGAAGAAAGAAGCAGATGACAACATATTATTTGCGTACCTATATGTTGATGACTTGATATTCACTAGCAACAATCCTATCATGTTTGAAGACTTTAAGAAAAGCATGGTTCATGAGTTTAAGATGACAGACATTGGTCTGATGACATATTTTCTTGGCTTAGAAGTAACGAGAAAGAAGAAGGGATTTTTTTATCCCAAAACAATTACGCCAAAGTTATTCTTGAAAGGTTTAAAATGAAAAAGGAGCAGTCCGATATCAACTCTAATTGAGAATGAAGTACAATTAAGAAAGAGTAAAGTTAGAAATGTTTTTACTTCAAAAGCTTAGTAGGAAGCTTAAAGTACCTGACATATACCAGACAAGATATACTTTATGGAGTCAGACTTATCAGCAGATATATGGAGATATCAGGCCAGTCTCACTTGAATGTAGCTAAGAAAATTCTTTGTTACATTAAAAGAACAATAAATGAAGGTATATTTTATATCTTAAGTGAAAACTTCAATCTTATTGGCTACTTGGATAGTGATTGGGATAGAGATCTGAATGAAAGGAAAAGCACAATTGGATTTGTCTTTTTTATGGGAGATATATTTTTCACATGGTCATCTAAGAAGTAATTGATAGTAACGTTATCAAGCTATGAAGCCGAATATGTTGCTACCAACTCAATTGTCTATCATTTAATATAGTTAAGGAATATGCTAAAGTTTTTGGGATTTCCTCAAGAAAGTCCTACAAAGATTTATATTGATAATCGATCAATGATTGTATTAGCTAAGAATCCAGTGTATCATGAAAGAAGTAAACATATCGATACACGTCATCATTTTAATCAAAAACATGTGAAGAACAAAGAAGTTGAACTAATATTCTGCAAAATAAATGATCAAATTACAGATATCTTTACAAAACCATTAAAGGGAGAAATATTTATTAGGATAAAGTTCATGCTTGGTATAACATCCCTCGATTGAGTTTAAAAGGCAGTTTTGTTGTGGTAAACTCAATAAACCACCAACCACCATCACCTACTGCCTCTTAATTTTTTTATAAATAAGCTGTTAAGTTTATGTTATTAAGTGTGGGAAAGAAAAGAGAGAAGAAAATGATGTGTATTAAGAGTGTGTGTTTGAATTTCTAAGCTTTTGTTTTTGTAATAAAACCATGTGTTTTATCCCCTCTAAGTATTATAAAGCCACCACCAGTAGTTTCTTCCACCAATAGAAGGGCACTCATAAATTTTAAGTCTTCTCTATTTATTACCAAATCTCATGTATCCTATCACTTCATCAAGATAATCTTACAAGACTGAATCAAAAGCTTTGTGAAAATCTACTTTGAACATCATGCCTACTTTCCCATTCGTTTGTATTCATGAACCATTTCATTTTCTATTGTAAACCCATCAGTAGTTTTTCTACCTGCTATTTGGCTATCACTAATAAGGTCTTAGATGACATGCTTTAGCCTATTGGAGACACCTTCACCATTATTTTGTATATCCCATCAACCATGCTAATTGGTTTGTAGTTGGATAATCTTTTTGATTCTTTGGTCCTTGGGATCAAGGTTACTTAGGCAAGGTTTGCACCATTTGGAAGCTTCTTTATTCTAAAAAATTCAACGATTAAATCCATCATATCATGACAGATCAGGCTCCAAGCCTTCATATAGAATTTGAAATTAAAACCCTTTGATCCTGGAGATTTTGTAACATCTTAGTCCTAAACTATTTTTTTTAACTTCTTTCATTGATACTTCTCATTATAACCAATGGGACCTCTCCAAACTAAGCTTCCTATAATCAACAAGACCCATCTTATCCCTTTTAGAACATGACTTGTTTAACAGCTTGGAGTAAAAAGAGACTACGAGTCTCTTGCTCTCATTTAGGGTAGTGTAAAAGATACCATTATAGGTAATTTGAGATATGTTCTTATGGTTTCTTCCCAAATTAACTACCAAGTAAAAAGAAAAATTTATATTACGATCACCAAGCTTGCACAATTTTTGCCTTGATTTCTTACACCAAATTGCTTCCTCGTGTCGACTTACCACTTATTGCTTTGTTACCAATTCATCCCCAATTCTTGACTCTTTTATTGATAGATCCTGACTTTCACTTACCTTTTCCATATTTCTATAATTTGTTTTTATGATGCTAGCACTTTATTGTATTAGTTGCCAAAATAATAATGATTATAAATCCACAGTGGCTTGGCAAGACAACTTAGTTTCTTCATCAATTTGAACATTCCTGTAAACTACAAGTGACTAGCATTCCAGAACTTTTCCAATGGCTTTATAAATTGCAGATGTGACAGCCAAGAGTTTATAAAGTGAAAAGGCTTCCAACCTTAGTTCTGTTTTGGATCCCCTATAAGTAACTGACGGTGACCTGAAAGGCCTCTAGGCAACTAGCTTAGTGTTAACCCACTGAACCTCAAGTGACAAGTAGACGAGGAGAACGCATGATCTATTCAATTCATTGATCCACTACCAAACCAAGTGTAGTGACAACCAGTAAAGGGATAGTCAACCAAATCATGACCACCTAGAAAAATTTGAAAAGCTCTTGAGCCTATAATGTTAACATAGCATTGTTTCTTTCTTAATGTGTAAGAATTTCATTAAAATCTCCCATAAGAAACCATGGTATATCAAAAGCTTATCTTAAGATAGTAAGATCATCCCAAAGTTCTCTTCTTTCTAAAAAAACATGGTGTATAAACTCATATCAGAGCATATTTAAAACCAGAAGCCACATGCTGTCCATAAATTGCAATCCATTTTTCTCCATATTCCACATATTTGAATTTAAATTTATTTATCCCAGCCTAAGGAAGTCATTCATAGAAAATATTACTGAATTGATTAGTGAAAGTAAAATTATG